AATGTAAGTATGCATAAAACATTATTCCTGGAGTTCAGCTTTAAAGTGACAATAAACTCAGGAATTAAATCTTAAAAATACATTCAAGGACCTTAACTATTAACAATACTGGACCTTATTTGTGTATCACTCGGCTGTAGATCCTCAAATCATCTCTGAATTGCTGCTGACACTGTCCTTCCTTCTGGAGGGTGGCTACTTTTGTTCCCCATGGTCCCTGTGTGTGTTGTAAAGTAGTCACCGCTCCAAGCTTGCTCCTGTGATGGACTACAATATTAATACAAATGAGTAAACTAAACGTGAGATTGTAGTCCATCACGGGAGCGATATACATTTTTACCAAGAAGAACATTATTTTGTTTCACTTGGGAGATTGCTGGAACTTTCATAATGTGCAGATCAAAGGACACATCTCCTCACTAATTCTGAGCGCCATTTATCCAGTTCAAAGACAATGAGATAATGGTGCCTAGGGCTAGTTACTGTGAACACTTGTACTTGATCCCCCTGTACCCATTCTGGGTTGCCCACTAACAAAGATGCCTAGGTCAGAACAATAAAGACCAACTTGTATATACACATGGACCATCGGATGGATGGCCAATGGGTCCCACTTAAAGAACCACCATTTAGGTGATATCTTCCCAAAGAAGAAGAAAAAATGATGAATTTATATAAAAGGGGCCTCGGAAAAAGCAAATGAAGAATGAAATGACCAGACACACTTGACTGAAACATAATATTGTGTTTACATAAACTCAAAGTACATAATGTTAGTAACAAAGGATGTGATTTCCCTTGGACATTAAATTAATGTTGGGCCTGTGTATACTGATAAAAAAAAAAGCATCTAGTATGACAGAAAAACAAATCAATTCAGCCTTTAAATTGCAGGATATAAAGAAAATAATGAATACTGATGGCGCCAGACTTCTGGATGGGAATATAAAAGCCTAACTTACAATGATGGAAAGGAAAGTGATTCTCGTCATCAAATAAATGAAGACAAGGTTCAAATACTACAATCAGTAAAACAAGTCATTCCAATGCGGCAAATAACTAGGTCTGGAGAGTATAATCATATGGAAGAAGGACTCTGAGGACACCCCGCTACATATTCATTCCTCACTTCAATCAGCTGCATTAAGCACTGACATTTTGGAGAGGGTTTCTGGTGCCATTTTCTGGTATGTTCAGGCCGCAATATCTGTCTATCATAATACTGTCATAGGATTGCTTTGGACCAGGAGATTTAACACACTAGTTAGGTTAGCAGCATTATTGAAATGTGTTAATAAAGGTTAGAAGTTTAGTAATTAGGGGTGGACAAATTAATATGGAATTCAGGAGCAGACAGGAGACAGGACTGTCATAGACTGCAGACACGACACAGAGGACTGTCATAGACTGCGGACACGACACAGAGGACTGTCATAGACTGCGGACACGACACAGAGGACTGTCATAGACTGCGGACACGACACAGAGGACTGTCATAGACTGCGGACACAGTACAGAGGACTGTCGTAGACTGCGGACACGGTACAGAGGACTGTCATAGACTGCGGACACGACACAGAGGACTGTCATAGACTGCGGACACGACACAGAGGACTGTCATAGACTGCGGACACGACACAGAGGACTGTCATAGACTGCGGACACGACACAAAGGACAGTCATAGACTGCGGACACGATACAGAGGACTGTCATAGACTGCGGACACAGTACAGAGGACTGTCGTAGACTGCGGACACGACACAAAGGACAGTCATAGACTGCGGACACGATACAGAGGCCTGTCATAGACTGCGGACACAGTACAGAGGACTGTCGTAGACTGCGGACACGACACAAAGGACAGTCATAGACTGCGGACACGATACAGAGGCCTGTCATAGACTGCGGACACAGTACAGAGGACTGTCGTAGACTGCGGACACGACACAAAGGACAGTCATAGACTGCGGACACGATACAGAGGCCTGTCATAGACTGCGGACACAGTACAGAGGACTGTCGTAGACTGCGGACACGACACAAAGGACAGTCATAGACTGCGGACACGATACAGAGGCCTGTCATAGACTGCGGACACAGTACAGAGGACTGTCGTAGACTGCGGACACGACACAAAGGACAGTCATAGACTGCGGACACGATACAGAGGCCTGTCATAGACTGCGGACACAGTACAGAGGACTGTCGTAGACTGCGGACACGACACAAAGGACAGTCATAGACTGCGGACACGATACAGAGGCCTGTCATAGACTGCGGACACAGTACAGAGGACTGTCGTAGACTGCGGACACGACACAAAGGACAGTCATAGACTGCGGACACGATACAGAGGCCTGTCATAGACTGCGGACACAGTACAGAGGACTGTCGTAGACTGCGGACACGACACAAAGGACAGTCATAGACTGCGGACACGATACAGAGGCCTGTCATAGACTGCGGACACAGTACAGAGGACTGTCGTAGACTGCGGACACGACACAAAGGACAGTCATAGACTGCGGACACGATACAGAGGCCTGTCATAGACTGCGGACACAGTACAGAGGACTGTCGTAGACTGCGGACACGACACAAAGGACAGTCATAGACTGCGGACACGATACAGAGGCCTGTCATAGACTGCGGACACAGTACAGAGGACTGTCGTAGACTGCGGACACGACACAAAGGACAGTCATAGACTGCGGACACGATACAGAGGCCTGTCATAGACTGCGGACACAGTACAGAGGACTGTCGTAGACTGCGGACACGACACAAAGGACAGTCATAGACTGCGGACACGATACAGAGGCCTGTCATAGACTGCGGACACAGTACAGAGGACTGTCGTAGACTGCGGACACGACACAAAGGACAGTCATAGACTGCGGACACGATACAGAGGCCTGTCATAGACTGCGGACACAGTACAGAGGACTGTCGTAGACTGCGGACACGACACAAAGGACAGTCATAGACTGCGGACACGATACAGAGGCCTGTCATAGACTGCGGACACAGTACAGAGGACTGTCGTAGACTGCGGACACGACACAAAGGACAGTCATAGACTGCGGACACGATACAGAGGCCTGTCATAGACTGCGGACACAGTACAGAGGACTGTCGTAGACTGCGGACACGACACAAAGGACAGTCATAGACTGCGGACACGATACAGAGGCCTGTCATAGACTGCGGACACAGTACAGAGGACTGTCGTAGACTGCGGACACGACACAAAGGACAGTCATAGACTGCGGACACGATACAGAGGCCTGTCATAGACTGCGGACACAGTACAGAGGACTGTCGTAGACTGCGGACACGACACAAAGGACAGTCATAGACTGCGGACACGATACAGAGGCCTGTCATAGACTGCGGACACAGTACAGAGGACTGTCGTAGACTGCGGACACGACACAAAGGACAGTCATAGACTGCGGACACGATACAGAGGCCTGTCATAGACTGCGGACACAGTACAGAGGACTGTCGTAGACTGCGGACACGACACAAAGGACAGTCATAGACTGCGGACACGATACAGAGGCCTGTCATAGACTGCGGACACAGTACAGAGGACTGTCGTAGACTGCGGACACGACACAAAGGACAGTCATAGACTGCGGACACGATACAGAGGCCTGTCATAGACTGCGGACACAGTACAGAGGACTGTCGTAGACTGCGGACACGACACAAAGGACAGTCATAGACTGCGGACACGATACAGAGGCCTGTCATAGACTGCGGACACAGTACAGAGGACTGTCGTAGACTGCGGACACGACACAAAGGACAGTCATAGACTGCGGACACGATACAGAGGCCTGTCATAGACTGCGGACACAGTACAGAGGACTGTCGTAGACTGCGGACACGACACAAAGGACAGTCATAGACTGCGGACACGATACAGAGGCCTGTCATAGACTGCGGACACAGTACAGAGGACTGTCGTAGACTGCGGACACGACACAAAGGACAGTCATAGACTGCGGACACGATACAGAGGCCTGTCATAGACTGCGGACACAGTACAGAGGACTGTCGTAGACTGCGGACACGACACAAAGGACAGTCATAGACTGCGGACACGATACAGAGGACTGTCATAGACTGCGGACATGATACAGGAGGTGACCAGAGAACAGGAAGATGCTGTAGGAGAATGTGACAGGCTGCAGAGACATGACACTTCTAGAGATCAATGTTGTGTTAATGTGAATGGTGATGCACCTTATCTATGTGTGCTGTGTTCTGATGACATTCACCATGAACTGCACCCCAATGCACTATACAGTAGAATCCAACTTAGCCCAGGGCACCACATGCATTGTGTCATGCTTTGTTTATGTGTCATGTCTGTTTTTTCTGTGGTGCGTGGAATGAACAGGTTGCTTAACACAACACATGTGCATTAACGCAATGGAACGCATACGTGTGAATGGGCCCTCAAGGAAGGCTCCAGGACAGTAGGACACTATAAGGATGGGTTGTAAAAAACCCCAATGTTTGTTTTGTCAGGGATGGCAGAATGCAGCTCATCCATAACAACCAGCTTCTGTTACCTCTGGTAACAAACTAGCCATTGCATGCAATGCTGCTTTAAACAATGCCTCTCTCCCCTATTCTCCTCAATCCAGGTCTGAACTGGGAGCCTACACATCTCCTGAGAAGTAAGAGGCAACACTTGACACAGTTGTATCTGGAGCTCACAACAAGAAAGTCCACCTATTGTTATTCTGAGCTGAGTTCCCCTTTAGTAGCCTCACACACACACCCCGCCAGACACAGATACCGCAGTGCAGTTTATACAAAGAACAACACAGAGGGAGGACATGATCATCTCACCCGCTGCTCCCCGCCTTCTGTCACCCGGTAACAACACTAGAGTCTGCGCCGTACGTTACGTCATTTCCGCCCCCGAGTGAAGCCAATTCAGCTGTACACCCGGTGGAGGGGAAGTGACGTCATGTAATCGCCGTTGTTGAGGGAGGACACGTGTTTCATAGGAGGTGAGTATGATAAGCAGAGTGATGTGGTCTGTGTGCAGGTTGTATGGCTGCTTGTTGGCGGCTACACAGGAGTAATATGAGACTACTGCTTGTATTCGGGTGTTGTTGAGTGTAAACACATGGCTTTCATTTTAAAGGAGTGAAATAATACGGGGGAAGTTCTCAAAACGGGAGCAGACAGGATCTGGAGCAGTTGCCCAGATAGCAAGGATAACTTGCACAAACTTGTGGCGGGGCTAAATTGTAATTCTTGTTAACTTGCCGCACACATTCCTGGCCAGTTGGAGACTTGCAGAACACTCGCAGCACAAGTTCTAGTTGACACTTTTTAAATTTGTAGCAGATTTGCTTGGCAAGTCTACAGCAAGAGTCCTGCAAGTGTACAGCACTTTTGTAAAGCACATTGATCTGGAGACTTGCAATGCAGACTTGCTGTAATTGTGCAACAAAATTGTGAAGCTTGGCAAGTCTGCAATAGTTTAGCAAGTCATTTTCAAACTTGCAACTCAATTGCTTGCTATCTGGGTACCTATGGCAACCAATCAGCATCTCTCTTTTAGTTTGTTCAGTTAAGCTTTCAAAATGAAAGAGAGAAGCGGATTGGTTGCCCCGGGCAACTGCCCCAGAATTTGTCTGCTCCAGTTTCGAGAAATTCCCCTTTATGTATGAAAATGTCAACTGCCTGGTTGTTGTATACTGCTTCAATTCTGTGAGTCAGTGAGCCGGAACATGTATGCGGATCAGTAGAGAGGACTTTCCTGGCTACATGCTTGTTTCAGGTCAGGGACTTCATACTGGTTCCAGAGACCGCCGGACGTCTAGTGCTGCCCACCCGTACGCAGAGGTGTATGCACTGCACACCGCCAGGTTTCAGAGGTGTATGCACTGCACTCCGCCAGGTTGCAGAGGTGAATGCAGTGCACCCCACCACTATACCGACGTGTATGCAATGCATTCTGCCAGGTTTCAGAGGTTAATGCACTGCACTCCGCCAGGTTTCAGAGGTGAATGCACTCCGCCAGGTTTCAGAGGTTAATGCACTGCACTCCGCCAGGTTTCAGAGGTTAATGCACTGCACTCCGCCAGGCTTCAGAGGTTAATGCACTGCACTCCGCCAGGTTTCAGAGGTTAATGCACTGCACTCCGTCAGGTTGCAGAGGTGAATGCACTCCGCCAGGTTTCAGAGGTTAATGCACTGCACTCCGCCAGGTTGCAGAGGTGTATGCACTGCATCCCTTCACAATGCTGAGGTAAATGCACTGCACTCTGCCAGGTTGCCGAGGTGAATGCACTGCACTCCGTCAGGTTGCAGAGGTGAATGCACTGCACCCCACCAGTATGCAAAAGAGAATGCACTGCACCCCACCAGAATGCAAAGGGGAATGCACTGCATCCTACCATTATGCAGAGAGGAATGTACTACACCCTATCAGATGGCACTTACGAGTAGGAATTTCCTATACCCCTCAGTGCCATCAGTTTGAGGTAATGAACCCTTAGGTATCACATTGGTGCTGTGACATCACTGTCCCTTGTCCAGTCTGAGAATGCTCAGCACAGCAGCAGTACAGGACTACTGGTCAGCTAAATGTACCATTGAAAGTTTGTTGTTGTTCTGTTCTACAATAGGCGCTTGTTGATTTTGGTAGAAATCTTGTGACCTTATAACATCCTGTGCTCTCTCTCCCTTTGTTCTTTGTAATCCATCAGAAAATAGGTAGACAGGGCTGACACCACGTGCTTAGAAATTCAGAACTGTGTTGTCATGTCAAAGAGGAAGTTAGGACCGTATTATATTTATGGCAGATAAACAGCTATTTTTCCATACTTGCAGTTTGCTTAAAAGGATAAGTCACGAGGAAATGTATATGTATATTACAGAGATTTACAAAATACAAAAAAGATATATATATTTTTAAATGTGCCTTAACATACGCTTAAAGGAGAATTTGCAATCCAGATTGTAATGTGCACGGTTAGCTTTCCACCAATACAGCAGCCATTAAGGAAGAATTCTGGGATTGGGAAAAATGAACCCTTGCAGTGGGGCAACCCCCACACTGAAAGGGTTAACTGCTAGTTTTGCTTTAGGGGGGAAAATAAAGAAGAAATACTCATCTGATCCTCGGCCCTGTGGCAGTGACCGCTCACCTCTCTCTTCCTCTGCTTCGGCTGTGGTATGTCCCTCATATCTAATAGACATGTAGCCATAAGGGCTGCGGAAGAAGATGTGGGGAGCATTTCTTCTTTATTTTTGCTCCCCTAGATCAAAACGAGTACTTAACCCTTGCAGTGCAGGGAGCAGCTTCACTGCAAGGGTTCATTTCTAAAAATCCCAGAGTTCCTCTGTAAGGACAGTGGAGTTCCATCCAGCCCTGATAATTCTGGAATTATTTTGAAATGACATAATACGACGTTCTGGGTAATATCAGCTTGGAGTAATGTTTTCTTATCTGTTTAGGGCATTAGAATCCCCTGTGCTGTGCCTGCCGGGGTCACCATGGTATTTTTTACCTGCAATGCTTGTGGAGAGTCTCTGAAGAAAGGACAAGTGGAGAAGCACACAGCGGCTTGCAGGAACTGTCAATGCCTCTCTTGTATTGACTGCGGGAAGGACTTCTGGTAAGTCTACAGCTAAGTACAAGTTTCACATTGATATCACTTCAAGTCACACTAAACTCAGGAGATAAACCTTAAAAATGCATTCAAGTACCTTTAAAGGAGAACTATGAGGTTAAGGCTTTATCCCCATAGTTCTCCTCAGGGTAACGGGAGGACACAAACTAGCGTCCCCCCGTTACCCTAAGCTCAGTATACCGCGAGCTACAGCTCACGGTGTACTGAGACGCCGCAGCTGAAATGGATACCGACAATTATGTCTGGATCCACCCAGCTGCGTGAGTGACAGCTGGCTCTGCCTATCTAGAGGCAGAGCCAGCTGTACCCGCCCCGTCCCCCGTCCGTTTCGCCAGTCAGCGCTGGGGGATCGGAGGGGGGAATCCAGTCCCTCCCTTGTCACGGCTCTCTGAAGTGACAGGATCGAGAAGTGTGCGAGCGCCAGTATGTGTTTGCTCACTTTCCGATCTACTGAGCCGACCTGTGACAGTCTCATTGTCACAGGTCGGCTAGAACTATGAGGTGAGTGAAAATTACTCATCTCATAGTTCTCTTATATATATATTTGTTAATAGTTAGGGTACTGAAATGCTTTTTTTTAGATTTAACTCCTGAGTTTAGTGTCACTTTAATCATCTGTTATACATGTATTACTGTTTTATAAGTAGTGTCATGAATGTCTGGACATATATTGTTTGTACAAGTTTTGAATTTCCTGCACTGTCATCCTTATTAATCCATCAGTATATGCATATTAAGCGAGCACCATTATAAACAAGTCAGCAATTATGGCTCCTATTCCTTTAATAAAACGTACCTTTTTGTAATTTGAATTTGTAGCCACCTATGATGTGTCAAGCAATTAGAATTCTCATTTAGGAAAATGGGTCCACGGTATTAAGCATAAAGAAAATTCCAGAATTGACACAAGTGATTGTTTGATGGGGGGGTGGGGTGTCTTTCAATGGCTAATTGAATATTGGTTAATTTAATATTACTTTGGGTTGACTGTTTACCCTTTCTTGCTGCCTATGTATACTCTGTTCTGTATTTTATACTTTCTGTTTAATCCAGGGGAGAGGACTATAAAAATCATCTGAAGTGTCTCAGTGAGGATCAGAAATATGGTGGGAAGGCCTTCGAAGCAAAAGCCAACAAGGGGGATGTGAAGCAGCAGCAGTGGATTCAGGTACATATCTCCCCCACGGACCGGCAACGGAAGCTGGGGTTTCTAATGTTTAGCTGAACGAAAACAAACCACATTTACTAGGGATGCACCGCTATATCGGCCAAAAATGGCACTTTTGGCATAATGCCGAAAGAGCCATGTTTCGGCCGATACATCGGCGCATCCCTGGTTTCTGTTCTCCCCGCTGGGCGCTGCTCTGTGTGCCAGCGGGGAGAAAAGAAAGTGACAGCCGGCCGAGCGCTGCAGGACGAGAACGCTGTGAGCGGCCGGCGTCTCTCCTCCCACACCGCTCAGCTGCCTATCACAGTCCGGCAGAGCGGAGTGTGGGCGGAGACAGCCAGCGCTGTCACAGGAGGCTGAGCTCTCCTCCCACATCGCTCAGCCGCCTATCACAGTCCGGGAGAGCGGTGTGGGGGCGGAGACAGCCAGTGCTGTCACAGGAGGCTGAGCTCACCTCCCTGCTCCGCTCGATCAGCCTCCTGTGACAGCGCGTCAGAGAGGAGAGCGAGCACAAACACTCAGTGATCGCTGAGTGTTTGTAGATAATTGAGGACATGGTATGTTAACTATATCTTCAATTATGAATGAATGGGAAGTGATCTGCATCACCTTCTGGTCATTCATAGTTGTAGGTTTAGTAAACACAAACCATGTTCTCATGTTATCAATGAACAGGAACACTCATTCCTGTTCATTGATAACAGGGGATACAGAAAAAGAGATAGAGGACTTTGTGTCCTAAATCTCTTTTTCAAAAGGGAAAATTTTTATTTCGGTTTTAAAATATCCATTTCGGTGCACCTCTAACATTTACTATAGTCTACTAAGGAGAGGGGGAAACAAAGTGCATACAAATTACTGAGAGAACAGTTTAAAGGGAAGTAGTCAATGCCTTACCAAGAAATATAATAATGCTAAAATGCACAGTGCACTGCAGTCTGCAACCTGCTCAACAATTCAGTATAATAGACACAAAGAAGACGTTCAAGTAAAACAAGAACTTCTCCTCTACCATCGAATCCAAACTGTTGCCTCCATATTGAACTCCGCTATTCAAAAGCTGTAATCTGCTAGTTTCCGTTCGAATGCTTGCAGGGGGCGGGGGACTTTCCATTTTTTGGGGGTATTTATATTTTTATTTTTTACTACATTACTGTGTGATGGCAATTTTACTATATTGCCATCACATGGGGATGGCGTTTACAAGCCCCTTACATGATAGCACATTGGAGGTGACAGTTTCTTTATTAGACCCCTAGTGTCACCTTTCCACTTCAAAGAATCTATACAAGCACACATCGTCAGGGAATGCCAGCTCCGGCGGCAAGATTCCGCAGCCAGCAGCTGAATGTAAACACTGCAGGCAGTGGGCAAGTGCAATAGCCAGCCTGCTATTGGCTTTGGGAGCAGCGGGGATCAGAGGGGACACAGAGCCGATGAAACGCCATCTCCAAGCGTGGAGTAGATAACTAGGGGATCCAACCAACTAGTTCACAATGATTCTCATTATCGATTAATCGGTTGGTTGCAGTCCTAAATTCTGGCAGGATCAACAGGTACTACTTTATCCTGTGTTTCCCTTGCACATTGTTGGGTATCCAAAGTATACACTGGTGGACTTATTATCCTTTACTTTTCAAAGGTAACAGCCGCTACTTAGCACATCAACCCCAGTGTATGCTTCAAAAGTTAGGAAAGGGTTAGCATAGCCTAGGTGGTCAATGTGGGCCCTGGGTAGCAATTAAAATAATGATGGAGGTAATTTCCTGACATCAAAGTCATATGAATTCTCAGAAGCAAAGGTTTGTCTTTTAACTGGTGCCCATTTATGTTTACGTCCCTCTGCTCTGTGAGCCTAAAACCTTGTGACTCCAAGTCATATATTTTCCATTCTGTTAGATAGCTGCCACTTAAGAATTGTTCTTTTTCAGCTCCGTTCTGTTTCCTTTCCTCTTCTCCCTTTCCTCTTTCTTTTCTCTAACACCCTTCTTTCTCTTTTCTTGTACCTTTTGGGATACTATAAAAACATACCTCTCATACATCCTTCCCTCACTATTACCCAGATCAGACACAGAGCGCACAACAGATCTGGAGAACAATCACGTCTCCAAAGTTTATTTGCCATTTTTTATAGTGACAATCTGAATTGAGTGAATGTATATGCCCGTATTATTGCAACACAGTGATGTACTTCAATGTTTACTGTACCTGATGTGCAATTTTCTATGTTCTATGAAAATCCTTTATAAAAAAACCTTATTCTTAGCATGTTTTTTTTTTTTTTATCTGCATCATAAATGCAAAATTACAAATTGTGTGCCAGTTAAAACAGCTCCCTTATATGTGGTCAATGTGTCTATTTAGCTGTTTGCCTGATGTAAATACTTCCAAAGATTGCAGTAAATGTACCCTTAGCATTGCATGCATTATTGCGTTTTAATAGCATTCTTTTGTTCCATAATAACGTTTTAATGGTAATGAACAGAAACTAATAGCAACAAATCTGCATTTATCCGTTTCACTTTTCTTACTGCCTAAACTGGTGAATGTTGGCATTTGTTGCCTCGGGTTGCTGCACAATCTTGTACTTCCCACACCTTATTAGCCAGTGACTATTTGTACAATTAAAGCAGTAGAGTTGTAATATAATTAGTACAAAACATCAATAATGTTGTAAATTTTAGTCTTTCTATACATTTTTTTTCTCCTTGTAACAGAAAATTCATGAAGTGATGAATAAACCTAGCATTACTCCAAACATGAAGAACATCTTAAGTCAGATTAGCACATATGATAACATTCCAAGGAAAAAAGCCAAATTCCAGGTAAGTCTAAGACCAGTTTGTTGCCATTCAAATAGCTCTGCATGCTGTTAAAATCTTAATTACTGTATTTTTCGCTCCATAAGACGCACTTTTTTTCCCCCAAAAGGAGGGGAAAAATGTGCCTGCGTCTTATGGAGCGAAGACCTATCGGCCGGGACATGCAGTTTCGGGCGCCTGGCGAGTAGTTTCTTTTTGTACATTCAGCCCTGCTCCTGACAAGCAGAGGTGAATGTACACTGGAAGCCGCTGCTCGTTTAATACTGGGGGATCTAATTAGATCCCTTGTATTAACCCCTTCATGACTGAGGCCCTTTTTTAGTGACCCGTCACGGTCCCCCATAGGAGCTCACCATAGAGCCACTTGAGAAGACAAAGAACGTCGTTCTTCGTCTGCTCTGTGTGATTACTGAGACAGCGCCACCTGTCTCAGCGGTCACTAACTGCAGCTTCTGTGACATAATTTCTGTCACAGAAGCCCTGCGTCCTATCGTCCGGAGCGTCTTATAGACCGCAAAATACAGTAAATGTGACAATTCTATTTGCCAGAAGTTGACGTCTGTTCAGTTACTCTTGTGTACCCCCATGTGCATCCAACACTATATTGGAGCCTCCTTACCATATTTTCTTGAATTGTATTGTCTCCCTATATATTCAATAGCCCTGTGCAAAGTGTTTGCGCTATATGAATCCTGTATTATAATAATGGTGGCATCACTATTCCAGGTTTACAGCTCTGCAGTTTCCATGTCACCTTTACAGTTCCAGCTTGTACTTTAGACCCTTTTGTTCTCAATTTTTTCAGTGGGTCACTGCACCCTTACTATGTAGAGCTAGTCCTGGTGCCCCATTCAATGTGGAGACAGAGAGGGGCAGTGTACAGGAGACTTCTATGTATTGTGAAACAGTCCCCTCTCCCCCCGGGCCTCCTGCTGAAGTGATAGGGCCCCGGGAGAGAGGGGACTATTTCACCACTTTCGACCTGCGGAGTAATATCAGGAGCCGCGGCTCCCGATAATTAAGTTCCGGCCTGCACTGTCGTCCTCAGTGCAGCAGATATCAATCCTCCCCAGCACAGCAGATTGTTCAGCTTAACAATAATTTAAAAAAAAATGGAAAAAATTCAAACGAACCCTGCTGTCCCCGACATCGGCATGTGAATAAACATGCGTGTGGGGCATGCATGTGTGCGTACATGACGATTGCACACATGTTGGGTATCACCGTGAGCGCAAAACTATTTTTGGGTCGTGACTTAGTGACCAAGGACAAATGTGGGTCCTGAGGTTACACAGGTTAAGAACCACTGCTTTAGACTACATGAACATCACCACACTCTCAGAGACTCCCTGTGCTCGCCTCCTAAGCCTGCTGTGCCTAAACAAATCACACCAGTCTCCGAAAAATGTAAAGATCATAAAATTGTGTACTGCAATAGAGCCTGATTTGCTCACATTGCAGGATTTCCTATTCTTGGCTTTCTTGCTGATGTGCATAGGGCATTAATGTATGTTTTTCTTACACTAACAGTATTTGAAATGCACCTTTTAGTATTTTCATAGTATTACAAATGCTGAAGTATTGCTCAAATATGTGGTTGGTTTTTATTTTTAAAGGGGAAACTAGAGTCCTGCGCTTCCATTCCACTCATCTGTCAGATCCTGGGAATAGGTTGATAGTCAATGTTAGTCTATGTGGAGGGCAGGATCTCAATCACAGATTGCTTTGGGCTGCCTAAAACCAGGAAATGGAGGCATGTCTTGCAATGGCAGCGCAGGGAGCTCCTCATTGTGGACAGCTACAGTTCTGCTTCAAATGTGTCTATAGTTATTAGTACCCTCAGTTTAATTGCACACACCCACATGATGCCCATAGTGCCCTTGGAGCCCTGGAATGCAATTGTCTATATTATGTAAATAATGACAAAATGCTAAAGTCAAACTCTATACCAGGGGTATGCAACCTTGGCTCTCCAGCTGTGCTGAAACTACAAATCCCATAATTCTTCTGCCTCTGGGAGTCATGCCTGTGGCTTGCAATGCCTTATGGGATTTGTAGTTTCAGCACAGCTGGAGAGCCAAGGTTGCCTCCCCCTGCTATATACCAACCCTCTCCCTCCTTATTAACCAGTAGTGGGCTGCAGGAGGGGACAGGTCAGAGTTTATCTTCTGGAGCTCTGGGAGCCAGTTAAAGCTAGAAGTAGGTGTCTGCCGTTGCATGTAACTGAGATGATAAAACGGCTATTTTAGGTTGGTTTTTGTTTTTCTGTTTTTGCAGAACTGGATGAAGAACAGCTTAAAAATTCACAATAACGTTATACAAGACCAAGTTTGGGAGATTTTCTCTGAAGCCACCAGCACCGTAAGTATTATTCAGCTAAATGTTAATGAATGGTACGTGCGCTACTCTGGCATTTACAAGGTAATGAAACATTTTACAGACAAAAGAAGCAGCTGGTAAAGATGCACCAAAATCAGCTGACAAAGCTGCTCCTGAAGAAGAAACATCTCAACCTTCAGGAACAGTGGAAGAAACAAAGAAGAAGAGCAAGAGGGAACGCAAGGAGGAAAGACAGAAAAATAATAAGAAAGAAAAGAAAGATGTAAACTCGGAGGAACCCACCGAGAACGAAACAAAGAAAAAGTGCAAGAAACGTAAAATGCAAGATGAGTGTCAGGATAGTGATAATGAGGATACAACAGACAAGAAGAAAAAGAAACGTGAAAATGATGGTGAGGAGATGCAGGAGAATGGCGTGGAAAAGGCAAGAGCAAAGAAGAAGAGGAAACATGAAGAATCACAAGGTATTCCTTTGGTGACATTAGATGTTTTTTGGCCCCTCCTGTAGTGTAGTTACTTGTAGTGTAGTTAAGTGAGAATATTGCTGGCAGTTTTGGACCACTCTTTACTGCCTCAGCCTCACTGCCCTGTTGGAAACCTACCTTAATGCAGAAAAGGTTAGGCAGAGTGCTGGATAGCAGAGCAGCAAGATGCAGGGTCAGCTCAAGGCACAGGGATGCTTCCCTATTCTTCCCCCGCATTGGTCGTTTTGATCTGATGTCAAATAACCATGTGCCAGCTCTGCATTATAGCAAGATTACGTCGGATGCAGTAAACGTAGCATGGTAATCAGTTATCCACCACCTGAAGTGAGCTACTATACATCTGCTCTGACCCAAATCCCCACACCATTAACCCCTTCATGACTGAGCTAGTTTTCAGGTTCTGTTCATAAATGACTGACACATTTTTTACATTTTTGCTGTGTGATTCTTCCACAGCAGTAATATACTTTCTTACTAAATGTACCCACACATATTATATATTGTTTTTTAGAGGACAGATAGGGCTATATAATTATATCACATATGTGTACCTAACCCCTCACTTAGTTTGAATAAAATAAAAAAAATGAGGAAAAAAACTAGAAGAAAACACTTTTTTCACAAGTTTTGATTATTATTATTTTTTAGAATTTTTTTATATTAATTATAGTATAAAAAATATATTTATATATAATTTATATTTTCCTAATTTTGTTTTACACTTTATTTTAATTTTTTTACACTTTGTAAAAAAAATAAAAATAAAATAAAAAAACTTTTTTTTTTCTTGTCAGTTTATATCAAGCAATCACTATGACAGCTTGATAAATTAACTTTTTTATTTTATTTTTGGCTATTAGGCTGATCCAAACTTAGGAACAGCTAATAATAACCTTAGAGACTGATCCTGACTTTAGTCAGATTCAGATCTCACTAAAAGCTCTTTGATCGTGCCTAGACGATCAGAAATGATACATTTCACTCAAAAGATATACATTGTATCCTTTCAGTGAAATGTATCTAAACATCGGGCTCTCGAGCTGTCAAAACAAATAGCAGAGAGGTGAGGTGAGTCACTGCTGCCTCTCTGCTATTTTGAGCTGTCAAATACGGGATCGCAAATTGCGGTCCTCTATTTGCATGTAACGGCTTCATTCTTTCATTACTGAAAGGAAGAAGCTTTTACAAAAAGCTTAATTATTTCATTAATTAATGCCTCAATACTGAGACATTAATGAATGACTGTTAAATGCTGAGAATCAGCAAATACCGGCATTACAAAGCCTGATATAACTCGTCACGTACAGTGTACGTGGCCAGTCATATAGGCACAAAGTGACAAGACGTACACTGTACGTCTCCTGTCACGAAGGGGTTAAAAAGAGGCATATGTCTGCACTACTACTTCTCTAAGCTGAATCGTGCAGTTTCCTAACCAATGCTGACAGAACATGCTGAACTAAATAAACTTATAGTGAACCTGAGGCCAGTCTATGCACATTCAATTATTTACATATGTTGAACAAGCAGTAAATGAGCTTTAAAACAAACCCTCACTGACCTATGTAGCTGCAGATACTGTGGAGCAATGATCCTCAAAGTTTGCAAGAGCAGTAGTAAGTGGTTCAATTTAGATCTTGGCAACTTGTAAGCGAACCTAACGTTTTTACTCTGCAGTCTGCTTCAATAAAAGTTAAATATATTCCTTTGAATCAAATTATTCCACAGTAGTGATGGGCTTGGGCGTGTTCGCAGCTCCACGTGCCGAGCCCGCCAGGAAGCTGACAGCGCCAAACACAGGTACTAAGACATCCCGGTCCGCAGCTGCAGAGACCGGGATAATGTCTCAGTACCTGTGATTGTCGCTGTTGGCTTCCTGGCGGGCTCGGCATGTGGAGCTGCGAACACGCCCGAGCCCATCACTATTCCACAGTGCTTGCAGCTACATAGGTCACTGTGGGATTGTTTTAAAGCTGATTGACTGCTACTTAAGAATATGTAAATATTTAATGGTCCATAGCCCGGCCACAGTTGCACTCTACAGTAAGCTTAATGAAAATATATGCAGGCTGGAATAGATGATTGTGCATATATTTTTACAGCAAACCATCATTAAAGGGACACTAAACTCAGAATTTAAATCTTTAAAATGCATTCAAGTATCTTAAATAGTAACAAAAACATATCTTATTTGTGTATCACTCAGCTGTAGATTCTCAAATCATCTCTGAATTGGTGCTGACACTGTCCTTCCTACTGGAGGGTGGCTACTTTTGTTCCCCATGGTCCCTGTGTGTGATGTAAAGTAGACACCACTTCAACCTCGCTCCTGTGATGGACTACAATCTCAATCCAAATTAGTAAACTAAATGTGAGATTGTAGTCCATCACAGGAGCGAGGTTGAAGTGGTGTCTACTTTACATCACACACAGGGACCATGGGGAACAAAAGTAGCCACCCTCCAGTAGGAAGGACAGTGTCAGCACCAATTCAGAGATGATTTGAGGATCTACAGTGGAGTGATGCACAAATAAGGTTCAGTTTTGTTAATAGTTAAGGTACCTGAATGCATTTTTAAGATGTAAATCCTGAGTTTAGTGTCACTTTAAAAAAAATCCCACGTATGTTCACTATAGCCTGTTCATGTGCAAAACAGTAATTTCATAAATTCATTGAACATAGGATTTGCTTGCTCAAATGGGATCTTTGCCCAATCATACACGTATATGCTTTGGTTATTCAAGCCAAGTGTGTTTGCCATGTACCCTCTGCTGCATCTCTAAAAGAACCCACAGACGATGTACATTTATTTTCTTAGAAATCCCTTGTTTAAAATGGTTCAACTTTACCATCCAGAGAGTATTATTTGGCTGTTATTGACATTTTTTTTAGCAAACATATATACCCCCAGGGGAACACACAGCACTCCTTCCAATCAACCTAAAACGAAAAACTTTTTTTGTTTAACTAAAACATACTTGTCAGAGGTGAGACCTGCACCTCGCCTATTTTATGCAATCTAAGTAAATGGAGGGTTTAGTTAGAAATTGCGATTTACGTTCTTTGAAGTTCAGAATCATTCATTGAAAGTATTGATGTCTCTGGATAAGCAGAACAGACAGGCAACTGCTATTTTCAGGAAGAGAGGTCAGCAGCGGTATTCGCAATGTCCCAACATTTCATTTTGTCATCTCTACGTTAGCAGAAACTGTCTACTTTACTAACATTTGTATTCAAAGCAGAACAAGAAGAAGAAAACTCTGTGGAGGAAAAAGATGAAGAGAATAGTGCTAACAAAGGTAAAAACAAATGTTGCTAGACTAGGTTTCCTTCTTTTTTCCCCCTCAGTATAGCTGTAGGAATAGATTTAATAATCTTGTGAACCAGAAAAGAAAGACCTTAAAATATTACATTTTTGTTTATTGTCATGTGACCGTTTTTCTAAAACAATGCAGACTAATGATTTTTGGACAGTGGTGGAGCGCCAGGGCCCTATCCCAGCTGAATCCGCTGCAACCCTGGTAGTTCTCGTGAAAATGTCAAGTATCTGCACTGGTTTCTGAACATTCCCGTTACCCCAAGGAGAACTATGGGGAAAAACACTGACCCCATAGTTCTCCTTTAAGGCCCCGTTCACACTGAGCGGTTTATCGCGCGATATCGCTCTATGTAGCCTGTCAAATGCATTTCAATGGAGCTGTTCACATCTCACAGCTCAATGTCGCCTGTAGCTTGTCGCTCGTACATGACCCCTTTTTCCGCAGATGTCGCGCGATTCGGCTACAATAGACTCTATGGTGTTGCGCATTACCGGCGATATTGCACGACTTTGTCGCACGATATCGTGCTACAGAATGGTCACAGAAGGAAAGAATTCTGTAAGGGTCTACAGAAGGAAAGAATTATGTCCCATCAAGATCGCTGTTGATTGGTTACCGCCCAATGTAGCAGCGACAAAGTCCTGCCCAAAAAACACGCTATGTAGCGCGATAAAATGTGCACTGTCACTCAATATCGCGCAATGTAGCTCTGAGCCGCTCAGCACGAAATCGCGCGGAAAAACGCGCAATATCCATGTCGCTTAGTGTGAATGGGGTCTGAAATCTTCAGTCTGGTTAAAAATCAGGATACTATTTTAACTTTTTTAGCTGCTCCATTTACTCCCTGTCTATGTTATGTTGTGCAGTAATACATTGCAGCCAATCAGAAGTCCGCTTTTAAGCAATTCAAATTAGACAAGCTAATAAAGGCTGAATTTTGATTGTTTCCTTTTGGATACTGCACACCACTTATCTTTCCTTGTATTTTTTGCAAGGAACATCTGACAACCTGTTAGTCACTAGTTGTTATCTTTTTGAGATAATTTTAAGGCTCTTTACGTGTCAACGAGGAAAAACACCCCATTGCACATGTAATCCTGGCTTAGTCATGTATAAAAGGCTTACAGGTCTGTTTTTTTTTTTTTGCTTCAATGATTACACCATTGCGTTTACGTCACCAGACTTAAGGTGGCCATACACTGCGAAATTCGCACAGTGGGTGCCGCTGTCGGTACCCTTTTCGCCGGCATCCCTCAATCAGCCGGCCCTGTCCACGTATTCTGACAGCAGTGGGCGGCCGCTATCGGCATTCAGAAAATACAGTGCACTCGTAGCAATGATGGAGGGATCTGCTCTTTTTTTGTCATTAAGCCCGTGGGTTGAAAAAAAAAAAAAAGCAGTGTATGGTCAACTTTAGCCTTGCCAGAACAAAGCATTATTTACTATTTAATTTTTTTAATTGTTTTTATTAGATTTTTCATAGAAACAAACAGTACAATAATACACAGTTATCACCTGAGTTCCAACACTCAGGGGCACAACTTACAACATTGTTCCAACAACACCATATATCATACCCTCCCTCCCCCTCTCCATCCCTTTCCCTCCCCCACCCCCCTTCAACTAGAGCTGTGTAAAACCCCATGACTAAACCCCGCAGGGGAAAAGGTACACCTCCAACACGTTGCTGAGCTTGTGCTATATATCCAGGCCAGTCTCGCGGGAGTGTAGTACACCCTGTGCAGGATTTATACTGTATTAGTCTATCTCTAGCCGAAATCAAATGTGTGAAAGGATAGTCCCAGGCCTCTCTCCATTCCTCCTCATCTAAATCCTGTGCCTCTCTACCAGAACAAAGCATTATTAATGATTGGCAAGATGACGGCTCAAATAAGGCTGGATAAACTGCTCACCTATATTTTGCAGTTAAATTTAACTGGAAGGGAACTATCAAAGCCTTATTGAAGCAGGCTCCTGACAATGAACTACCCATCAAAAAGCTGAAGAAGAAGGTAAACTATACTCATAAATTTGTATTATATGGTAATCATATCTTATTCTTAACCTCTTCACATTTCTGCTGTGCAGTCTTGATTTTCACATTGACTTGTAATTCTTCCTCACCACTTTTTTAAAATGCTTACCATGAGGAGGCTGTATTCAAAGTTCTCCCTATGGCCGGGTTCACACCTGGGCGTTTTTCAGCGCTGATCGAAGTGAAATCCCATACTTCCCTATGGGCAAGGTTCCCACCTGGGCGTATTTCAGTATTTCAGCCCGTGGAAACGCGCTGAAAAACGCCCTAAGCCCAAACAAGTACAGGAGCTTCTTTGGGGCGTTTTTCAGCGCGTTTCCATTGGTATTCCCAAGTGTGGCTCGGGGTTAACAAAGCGGTAACCCTGAGCCACACTCAGGAATACAGCATAGGACTTATCTTGTCCGCGATCCCCGGTGTGTCCTCTGGCGGGTGCTGTCTTCCGTGTTCCGTCCCTTGCGAGCGGCCGCGTCGCAGGGGGGCGGAACCGGCGGGAAGTTTGAAAGTAAAAAAATATATATAGATATATCTATATTAGATATATCTATATAGATATACAGTGTATATATAGATATAGAGAGAAAATAAAGGAAAATGTAAAAAAAAAAAAAAATCATACCGCTAGTGAAACGCGTGTTTCACTGAACGGAAAAACGTGCTAGAAGCGGAAAAAACGTGCCTATGCTACGCCCAGGTGTGAATCCAGCCTATGTGTACAGAAAAAAAAAAAACAGGTAGAATCGCCATAACCAAAATTAGAGCTGAACTCCTTAATATTGGAAATTCTGGTTTAAACTTTGATGTGTAATACCTTTCTTTTTGAAATTGTTGTCCCAAAATTTGATTCACTGAGATACCTTTTCTCATTCCAGTTACACAAGCCATTTTGTAATTTTCATGTGAAAAAATTCCTCTGCAATTCAATCTGAGGCTGATTTCCTAATTGTTGCCAGAAATTGACATTTCCCTAGTCATTGTCCAGGACAGGAACTGGAGACAAAGTTCCTGCTACCCAAAACAGGAAACGCAAGCCACATACCCATAAAGATTAGACTCATACTAGGTGGTAGACCTTAAAATGTGTTTAATCAGTCGGAATGGAATAAGGCTTCAGCTTCACCTTCTTCTTCTCCATTTTTAAAATCAACAGTTTGCTAAGTGAACAGAATTACACTGTTTGTCCATAACCAGCAGTTCAGGCCAATTGAGTTAGGCAGGAGGTGGGGGTTTGGGATCATTGTTCCTGTTAATCTGAGGTCATTTTATCTGTCGCACCTAATTGAGGCCTACATTTCCTGTCTACTATTAGGAGTGGAGTCAAGTTGAGAAATGGTTAGCAGTTCATTGAGCTGGGGTGCAGATACCTAGGTCAATGGATATCCTCAGACATACTGCTGACAGGGAAAATGTGCCAGTGCATGGGACACAAAGATTCACAGGCCACCCCCATCTCCGGCCAATAGAGGAGCCTCCTCTGCAGTGGTACGAAGTGACTAAATAGTATACCAAAATGATTTATAATAGTCAGGTATGCTACTCGTTTATTTAACATCTGCGTATGGGGTCACCATATCATTACTCCAGGTTTGTTCTTCCCACTTGGGGTCATTTTCATGTAGGGATGCACCGATACTCAGTGTCGGCACCAATACTAGTTTTAGTAATTGGGTGAGTACTCGTACTCGCCCATATACTCCCGATGCTTATTCTGGTACCGGAACTTCTGGTATCCAGAAGCCGGGTGGCGATTCATTACGCGGCGCTGGCTTCCTGATTGGCCGGGAAGCTGGGCCACGTAGGGTAGTGATGGTCACTATGTCACCCTGAGGAAGGGACTCTGCGTGGCCCCCGAAACGTTCGTTTGATTGACGCATGTGACGCATTTTGCATCCAGTGAGTGCTGGTGATTTCTTTCATCCATGTTGTGAAAACAGACAGCGCCATCTGTGGCATCACTTTAAGCATCGCTATTTGGAAAGCGAAAGGCTGTGACACAGCTCCCTCCAGCCCTTCTCCTCCTCCTCCTCCTCCACTGCAGCGTTGGTATGTCCCTCGACGTCCGCACGTCTCACTTCCAATACACAGTGTATGGGGCGTTACGACTCACAGGACTTTAGACCGTTGCAGCAAAGGGGGAGGGAGACTCCAGTATAACTTATTTTCCTCCCTAGACCAAAACAAGCACTTAACCCTTGCAGTGCGCGGGTAGCCCCGTTGCAAGGGTTTAAAAAAAATTCCCTGGAGTTCTTCTTTAATTGCATATTAAACACTATTGTATTATATCCTTTTTTTCTTCATCTCCTCTTAGGTTATCGCTCAGTATTACACAGTATCCTCTGCCCGGCACAAGTCTGAAGAGGAGCTTCTTGGTACCTTCAACAAGAAAATACACGGCAATCCAAAATTTAGAGTACTGAAAGAGAGAGTAAAACTCCTAAAATAAAAAAGATACTTTTCTTCTACATCCTGCAGGTTACAGAGACACTTTCACTTGCCATGGGGGTGCCTTTAAAAAGATAATGTTAATTTTACCAGCGTAGGCAAACCTGCATCAGATTTGCTAAAGGGGTTGAGAATCGTTATACCATAAATTGTGTGAATATTCACTTCATTCATTTCATGTGCAGATGTAATCCATGAACAGAAAGTTAGTTGTTTACATTAGATAAATGAAGTAAATATTCACACAATTGGTTGTATAAAGATTCTCAAAACCTTTAGGAAATCAGCCGCAGTGTCTCTTTAGTGGCATTGTAGAGAAGGTGAGACCTGTGCAGGACTGTAGAGCTTCAATGGCTGGTGGTATTTACCAGGGATTCACTGATACTAGTATTGGTATCGGTGCAGATACCGAGTATTTGGGTGAGTACTGGTACAAATGCTCCTATAACTTTCCCGATACTGGAACTTCTGGTCAGAGGGAGGTTTCCTCTGACTGGCAGTGCCGTGAGGGAACATGGAGCCGGGAAGCTGGCTCCATGCTGTTTGGCCGGCTCGACGCTGATTGGCCCGGGAAGCTGGCTTCCCAGCCAATCAGTGTCGAGCAGGGCAAAGAAATCTGATAATATGGCGACACGACCCCCACCCTGCAGACAAATCATTCCCCTCACATAGATCCTTAGCAGCAGTCATTACCGTACCATTCCTTCGGCCAGCTGGGCAGACACCACTCTCGGATCTGCCCACGTCTCATGTGTGCACAGCGCCCACGTGATTGGCCCTCAGCCTGCTACTGCGCATGCACATGATTTCTGAATGAGAGCGCTGGACAGTCTGCGCAGTAGCAGGCTTAGAGCTGATCACGTGGGCGCTGTACACACAGGAGTCGTGGGCAGATCTTGGAGAGCTGTGTCTGCCCAGCTGGCCGAGGGACTAGTACGGTAATGACTGCTGCTAAGGATCTATGTGAGGGGAATGAGGTGTCTGCAGGGTGGTGGTCGTGTCGCCATAGTGTCAGATCTGTTTGGCCGGCCTCAAAGCCGATTGGCTGGGAAGCCGGCTTCCCAGCGAATCAGCATCGAGCCTGCCAAACAGAATGCTACCCGAAGTACTGGTATCGGCAAGTCCCGAAAAAAAAAATATCGGTACTCGTAACCGAAAAATCGGTATCGGTGCATCCCTAGTATTTGCACACCTGGTTCTACATAAACCTGTTCTCATGTTCATTTATATCTACTGAGGTGCATGCTGAAATTAAAACCTGCCACCTAAATGTACCTGCTTGCATGTTAATACACCTTGCGGAGTGCCGCACCATCCTTAAAACTTAAAGTGTTGTAATGTGCAAATAGCAACTTTGATGTCTCCAGTTATCTCTCTGCTTTCAGCACCTCGCTACTTTTCTGGTGTTGGGTGGTCACTTCATGACTTCAGGAACTAAAGTCACTTTTTGCATATTAAAGCTCCCCTGGACGTTCTCTGTGAATGTCCTTTATAATGTCTGTTTTCCACTTTTGAAAAGCAAGGTGGGTGGACTTTAGTAGGCAAAATGACACACACAAGCCTCATAGACTAACGTGACCAGATATGTAATGCAGTAAAAGCAGATAATACACAATAAGCATGATTGGATATCTTGAGCTCTTCAGGAGATGGAACAAGTTTTGTCTGATTCAAACTGGGTTTCATCTTTTATTTAGCTTGCTTCCGTCAGTTCCCTTCTCAACATTCTTTGTGTGCAGAGCCACATCTATGCCATTAAACACAGTCCTTTTGTTTTTTCATTCCTGATTGTATGCTCTGTGAAAGTAATGACAAACCTGGGCTGTTGAAATTCAGCAGGAAACGGTGGTTATTTTCATAACATTTAGACTTTTACTGAGGTAATTGTTGCATCACAATAATAAGGACATTTCCTAATATTTGTGATGTACGTAGTGTAAGTGCAGTGAAGCCGTATGTAATATTTACATTGTCACTGAACACTATATTTATAGCTAATAGTCTACTTATCTGGTGAATGGCTGCTCTTCATGTGAAATAAGTACATAGGACTGCATGCACGCTAGATAATTGTGCCAAGATAACTGTATGGTGTGCATGATGTTCCCCACCACGCTTATTTTACTAGAACTCATTTTTGATTGCTGCTTTACCTATTACTATAGGGGGAGGGTGTCCTTTAAAATTGATATTCATTGACAATATGCAGCACATGCCCCCAGGTTTAATTAGATCTGTTTCCTACATGTTATATAGTAGGTAAGGTTGAATAAATACTCAGGTCCATTTAGTTCGACCTACGTTAACTGACAGATTATTTTGTTGTTGACTGCAATGGTAAAGTACACGTTTTGCTCTAGTATAGCAAAACACCTTACCATACTAGACGCAAAACCTACGAAAGCCTGTCTATTGCCATAGTGTTACCAAAGTTTCAGTGGTCTGTAAAGACTTCCTAGAAAATGTTAATGGACAAGGCCAATGGTTATCCGATCTTCATCCTCGTTCAGTAACAAATTCTTACTCTTATGCACAATAGCCAGTAACAACCAATCAAAATTCACTTTGCAGAGAGCGACTAATACAAGATTTACTATTGGCTACTACACTCTTATTGAAAAAGTCCACATGTGTGTTTTGCTAGTCTTCAGCATTCCAGTTTTTTACTTCTGGCCAACTCCGGACACATTTTAAAAACTAGCCTAAGCATTCTCTTCTAGTGACCACGCTATCGAACAACATAAATGTTCTAATAAAAAGTTATCATCTTGATGAAGCATATCTTCTGGATATCAGCCATGCTAATTGGACAGTATAAATCAGTGGCGGAATCAGTGACGTGATGTCCAGAAAAATGCATTGCTCAGAAAAATCTCAGCTTTCAATGAATTATAACAATGACTCTCCTCAAAGCTTTGGATTGGTTGCCTGCGTTGATGCATATTGTGGTTTATTAGGCATGAGCTAAGTTGGAAAAGTTATCCTCTAATAATTTGAGTTAATGTCGGCGAAATTAAAACTGGGATTTACCTGTTTAGCAAAGTGAAAATGTTTGTTTTATTAACATTAAGGTGAAATCAATCATTTTCCATTGAAATCACTTCACTTGTCTCATACGGTTTGATGCCAGGGAGTTTGAAATTCTATAAGCTGTTTTAGAAGCCTGGATTGTATTCTGTATGTTCCTGGGGATGTATACTGAATGACTCTTGGGCATCGTTGTTTTCAGTGTAAAATGTCAAGATGTAAACATTTGGATAACAAGTGATAATGTTTTTAAATAAAACAAATTTAAAAGATTGTGGCATCTGGAGTTTTACTTTAGGTTGTCATTAGAATCATTTTTGCTTTTGCTTTTCTGCTTCTGCATTGTATGCAAGCTAAAATGTAATGACTCTTCTCTTAATCTGCCGAAGTCTTTAACAGCTTATATCTAGAGACCTGTGTACATTCAAAACTCCACTGTAACAATGGCCGAACGTTGCAAACCAGTCTGTACGAGCTTGAAGGAGATTAGGTCTTAAACGCAAATGGCTTCATTTTGTCTCATCTATTAATGGACACTGCCAGTCTTAAATTTTTTAGGTTGTACTGCTGCCTAGTTAGCTGTGGATCACTTTCCAGGCCAAGAAGTATTGGCATTGCATCAGAGGTTGCCCTGTCTCGGAAGATTTAGTGAGTAGGCCAGTCGAGACAAGCATCGGGATACTTCAGTCACTTAGGTCACTGGGTTCCTTTATTCCCCCTTTCTACTGATTTTGGCATGGAAGGGTTTAACACTTGCTGGGTAGAGTGTCACATGTGCATTCCTGTCAGAGTTGAAGCATCTCCCTGCTGCTGTTACTGCTTGCAAAGAGCCTTGTCTCCTACCCTATGTCTATACATTGTCTTAAGGCTATGTGGTTGCAACATGTCTGATTCTGGACAGACAATCCCTATGTACCAGGACTGCATTCTTCAAATGCAGCTTTCCAGCAAGGTCACCATCAGCCTGGGTTTTGGAGTACAACATCTGGAACTCGCTAGACTGGACATGTGAGCATTAGCCTGGATAAACCTGTTGATTCTTCCGGTGCTTCTTCCAGTCTTGGATCATTTAAAACTCTTAAGAGCTTCCCTTTTGGACCTGCTTTTCCAACTATTTCGTAATGGAGATTAGAAACATCCCAACAAGCTGTTTCTCCCCTCCCTCCCCGTACTCTCATTAGCTTTGTATACATTTAGTGAGAATTTTGAGCAAAAATGGACTAGTCCCACTGTGGATCCAGCAGTGTCTTGCCCTAACAGGGCACATACTGTTCCAGTAGAGGAAGCACCTGTCTTTAAGGATACAACCGATAAGTGGTAAAAGCCCTTTTCAGTGGAAGAAGCCAAGGAACAGACGATTTAAGTCTCTCTCCTTATCTGTTAACCACTTGAGGCCTTTTTCTCCCTAAATCCCCCTGAGACCCAGAGCGTTTTCTGCATATTTTATCTTTCACCCATTTGTACCCTTCACCCTAACGTATTATACATCTTTTTTTTTTGCCGGGGTACGGTTTTATTTTTTTGGTAGCATATTTCGATACATATATCTTTACTTCCTGTTTTTTTATTGGGAATAAATACTGTTAAATTTGGTTAATTTTTCCAAACATAGTTTGCGCAGTCCCATATATGTACCCCAAAATATAATGATCAAAGTGTGCTAATTAACATAATCACATTAGTGTGACTTGTATGTATTAATTACAGCTCCCAGGCTTAGTTTTGTATGCCAGATGTCAGAGGCAGCCGGTGGTTCCAGGCTGGACCCCTGCCGGGACCCGCAGGAACCACTGATTCCCAGCAACAACCGAAGCTAAGTGACTTTTTAGTGTATCCTCTTAGAAACCATTGCATGTGCTAGAGAAGTGTGTGTGTGTGTGTGTATGTGTATTAGCAGCCTGTACATGTGAAACTCGAATAATTAGAATATCGTGCAAAGTTCATTTTACTGTATAGTAAAAGTGCATTAAATACTACTGGGTCAGTTTCCTTGACTTTACTACAAGA